CTGTACACCAGGCTGGCCTTAAACTCATAGAGATCAGCCTGACTCTATCTCCCAAGTGCCTGGTAGGTCTTCCTTAATTATTAAAATACTTATATTTATTGTTTTAATTGGGTGTGTGTGTGTGTGTGTGTGTGTGTGTGTGTGTGTGTGTAAGTGCAGGCTCCTGAGAAGGCCAGAAGAGAGCATCACATGCCTGGAACTGAAGTCATAAGTTGTGAAGTTCTCAGACTTTGGGTGCTGGGAGCTGAACTCAGCCTGTGCAAGGCTCTTCACCTCTGAACTATCCAGCCCCCTGACTTTCAACTGATTGATTGATTGATTGATGTGGATAAGTGTTTTGTTTACACATATGTCTTTGTGCCACCTGTGGACCTGGTGCCCAAGGAAGCCAGAAGAGGGCATCAGACTCCATGGAACTACAATGTGTCTGCTGGGAATCACACCTGGAACCTCTGGAGGAGCAGCTGGGGCTCTCATCAGCTGAGCTATTCTTCCGCCAGTCCCTCCCCAACTTTTTTTATATTAACTGGCAGTAAGCTGAAGAATGGCTTGCTTGCTTTATTATGTGTTTGTTTGTTTGCTTGCTTATGGCTTGAGATAGAATCTTGCTGTGTAGTCTGGACTGACCTGAAACTTTCAGTCCTCCTGCCTTGGTCTCCTGCAAGCTGTGGGGTGTGCTGCTTACACAGAGGAAGTGTGGGTTTGTGCTTGGCGATGGATAATAATGATTGTCAACTTGGCACAGGCTAGAGTCACTAAAGACGAGCCTCTGAGTGTGCTGGCGGGTGAGTCTCTAGGTTAAGCCCAGCCCAAGTGGGTGATGCCGTTTCATGGGCTGGGGTCCTGGAATGAATCAAAAGGAGAAAGCAAGCCGAATTCTTTCTGCCTCTTGACCGAATGCAACGTGACCAGCTCTTGTTGCTATAGCTTGGGTACCATGCTGGGCTGTGCCTGCTGTGAGCCAGTAGAAGCTCTTCCTCCTTTAAGTTTTGAAGTATTTTGTCCCTGAAATGAGACAAGTCACCAATGCAGCTGTTATAGTGAGACCATGTGAACTGCACATGGACCCACCTCCCCAGTGGGACAGCCGCCACAAGGCCACAACCTGGGATCCCTTCGTGCAAATCCACAGGGCCACACCTGGTACGATGTTCCAGGAAGAGAGCCCCATTCCTTTGTTGTGGGATGTTTTGATTGTACTCTGACCCTCCCAGGGCCACCCAATAAAGTTATACCTTCAAACAGGGAACAGAGCTAGCGACTAATTGATGGAATTGGCCGTAGAGAAGTCAGCAATTTGGATAGAAAAGACACACCGGAAGAAAAGAGCAGGGAAGAGAGTTTGGCTGCTGCTTCTCGGTTCTGGGATGAGGGGAAGAGACATGTCTTTTGCGGTGTCTCTGGCTAAATAGCAAGATCAACCAGTTGCTATTCAGCCTCTCTGAGCTAGCACGTTTTCACCCTAGCCTTTGACTTCTGAGTCTTATTGATAAACGGAATGACAGAGATTTAATTTAAAACTATGTGTCTTGGGCTGGAGAGATGACTCAGAGGTTAAGAGCATTGCCTGCTCTTCCAAAGGTCCTGAGTTCAATTCCCAGCAACCACATGGTGGCTCATGACCATCTGTAATGGGGTCTGCTGCCCTCTTCTGGCCTGCAGGCATACACACAGACAGAATATTGTATACATAACATATATATGCATATGTATATATATACATATATATATATACACACACACTATGTGTCTTGGTGGCGGCAGAGCCAGGGAGTGAGGGACTAGGAGCCCCACCAGGCTGCAGCCTGAGTGGCCATTGGGGTACTGACTCAGGGACTGTGGGGTGGCAGGCGATAATTAAAATATCGGCAGATTCACGTGCACCCAGCAAGCTGACTGAAAAACATCAGTCCTTGTGTTCACCTGGCCTGGTTTCACTCTTCGCACCTCTCAAGCCATCAATGCCCCAGAAATGACCAAGCCAAGAGGAAGACACATTACCGTCTCCTTTGACCAGGACACTGAGGCCCCAGCAGGGACAGGGAGCTGATAGAAGACCACGGTGAAGTTGGTAAGAGGCAAGACAGCAAAGCTCTGGCCTGCAGGCTTCTTGTCTTTAGTGTTTTTCCTGAATGTGAGGCAGTGTGTGGAGAGATAGGCGGAGGCAAGGGTCACATGTTGCTGGGACAACGAACTTTAGTCGCCAGGAAAGGAACTGGTGATAACCTCGGGCCACTAAACTTGGATGTTAACTGGAAAACTACAGGCTAGTGAAGCACGTGGAGCCACAGGTTTTCCCCCTCAGAGGCCCTAGGACTGGGAACAGCTTTCAGGCTACGGCTCCCTTGATCCTTCACTACACACTCAGAAGTGAGGAACTTTCTAGCAGGCAGGCTTGGAGTCAAGCTGTAGCTCTGACTGTGCTGTATGTAGGGAGAGGGCGGGAAAGCCCTCCCTCTTCTTATCTGTAAAACTGGGTGATATCTTTAAGTCTGTTGTGCTAGGGACACAAAGAAACCATGTATGCATCTGATAACAAAGGCATTTAAATCTATCTATTTATTTATTTTCATGTGTATATAGATGTACACACGAGAGTTCATGTACCCACACGTGTGCAGTGTCCTCCAAGGTCAGAAAAGGGCATCAGATCCCCTAGAGCTGGGGTTACAGATGGTTGTGAGCTACCTTGTAGGTGTTGGGAGATTAAAACCAGATCTTCTGCAAGAGCGTGTGATGTTAACCACTGAGCCATCTCTCCAGCCCTAGCAAAGACACTCAAAAGGCCCTGTCACTAACCCAAACCCAGAAGTTCCAGCCATCCTCAGTTCCCTGTACTGATGGAGAAACACCACGTATTCCCATACCTGAGGTTTGACATTAGCATCAAAGTGACCACAGGCACTCCTCAGGGCAGCCCTGGGAGGCGGGTTCTGCTGTATAAGAGCTGTTGGTGGAGCTGGGGTAGAGGGAAGTGTGAGTGTGAGGGAGCCCCCCGCTTTTTTTCAGCAAGAACAAGACACAAATAAATGTTTCTTGCAAGATTCCAACAGCATATCCGTGTAAAAGGCAAAGAGCAGCAGGCCTTCCTGCCCTGCTCCAGCCCTGCCCTGCGGTTATCGCTCTGGTGTCCTGCTTCTATTAGCAGCAGCTCCCACATCCACAGACATCATCACAATCGCATCTCCTGCAGGATAAAGACCTAAACATAGAGTTGCTGAGCCGCAATTATGAGCATGCAACCATTTGCAATGGGGCTAAGTGCTGCCCAAGTGACCGCTAAAAGGTCCCCATGTACAAGGTGTTTAATGTCCACGAGGGAGGGCGCCAGCTGATGGCTTAATGACCTATCTCCATCTTCCCTTTCCTCCAGCGAGTCTGTCTCCCTATCCTTCACCCACTGCAGTGCCCGCTGCAGACATCAGCTGATAAGAAAGCTATCCGCTGAGAGTGGCCAGAGCAGCCTGCCTGACCTGTGCTTGTCCCAGTGTCAGAGGCTTCCAAGCAGAAGTGGCTTGCTTCCCTCCACCCCCCTCCCCCACTGCTAATGTGTTTTCCAAACTCCAGAAGTTGGACCTGCTGGTCCAGTGACACAAGGCACACAGACACAATCACCAGATGCCTGAGACCCTATAGATGCCAGGCCAGCCTCTACCATGAAGACCACTGACTGATGCGATACAGAATGTGGACGAGGGTGTGGTACCACCGGTTACCTCCCAGAGGTCTGCTGCGAAGACCTCAGCGGTCCAGGGAGGTGGCCATCCCATAGCCAAGGCAGAGTGCTTGGTAGAGACCCGCTCCTACTTGCTCGCCATTCTGACTAAGTGGTCCTAGGTGAATGCCCAGCTATCTGAACCCAAGAAGGAGCACAAGACTTGTGTGTGCAGCAGGGATGTTGTATGTGCAGTAGGGATGTGCAGCAGGGATGCAGCAAGGGCCAGCTATAGCCATCCTGGTACTTGATGGAACCCAAAGCTCAATGACAGCTAAAATCAGCAAAGTTCCTACTGTGTCCAGTTGTCTCTATGCTTAATCGGCAATGGGCATTCATTTCTTCAAGATTTATTTGTATTAGCTTATGAGTGTTTCACCTGCATGTGCATCTGTGCACCTCACGTATGTCTGGTGCCTGAGCAGGTGGTAAACCTTCATGTGGGTGCTCAGAATCAAACCTGGACCCTTTGCAACAAGTGCTGTTAACCACTGAGCCATCTCTCCAGCAGCCACAGTAGGTTTCTCTGAGTTCAAGGCCAGCCTGGTCTACATGGTGAGTTCCAGGACAGTCAGGCTACATAATGAGACCGTGTCTAAGTGTGTGTGTGTGTGTGTGCGCGCGCACGTGCACACGTGCTATAGTTTGTTAGTGCCTTACAGTGCTCCATGGGAGGTCAGAGGACTACTTTCAGGGATCAGGTCTCTCCTCCCATCACGTGGCTCCTAGAAATGGAACTCAGGTCTTTAGGCTAGTGGCAAGGGACTTTACTGGCTGGATCATCTCATTGGTCCGCAAATTATTATTCTTGGTTTTCCAAGCAGAAAACGAAGCCCCCTCTCCCCCACGCCAAACACACATAACCACCAAGACAGAAAAGAAAAGTCCCTTGCTCAACATGGAAGACCTGATTTAGACCCAGGGCTTTCTTTGTCAGCGAAAGGAAGGCCCAGGGAGAAAAAGTGATTGATATGAAGTAGATTAAAAGACCCTGGTCTTCCGGACCGCGCTTTCACCACCCACGGCTGCCCCTGCTCACTCCCAGCTTTCATCCTGAAGATTTTTTCGCCCAGGTGCCCCCCGGGTCGAGGTGATCTCTACGGGTACACTTACATCACCACCGCAAGCCCGGGCAATGGCGACCCCTTGGAGCGTCGAGATTTCCAGTGGCGGAATGGGCGTGCGAGGGAAAACGAGGGCGACTTGGCGCCCGGCACCTGGCTCCGCGGTAGGGGCGGGGCTGTGACTCAGCCGCACAGCCCCGGGGTCGCCCAGCCGGTCAGACCGGCCTCGGCAGCGCGAGCGGGGCGCCGGACTGGGCGGCCCAAGGGGTGCAGGGAAAGGAGGCCGCCGGGCGCCTGCTCGGGCGGGTAGAGGAGCGGAGGCCACGGGTGAGCAGGATGGGAGCGAGACCCCGCTGACGCCGGCTGGGGCCACTGGCTGGGAGCGACATGTGTCTGCGCATCGGTGAGCGAGGGCTCACGGGAGGCCCATTTCTGGGGGGACCCAACCCGAAGCCAGGTCACCTGCTCCATCACGTCCTTGCCTGCAGCAGGTCACTTTACTCTCAGCCTCAGTTTCCCCCAGAAGTAAGATGGCGGTGGGGTGGCAAGCGGCTAGGTTATATTTTTCTTTTTTCGGTGTGGGCTAGGCAAGTGCTCTACCATGGACACCAGCCCCAAAGTTTCGAGACAGCGAAGTCACTCAGGGACTAGCCTGGAAATCAGTTCTTAGCTCACTCTCACTTTGAACTCTGGATCCTCCTGCCCCAACCTAAGTAGCTGAGACTAGATTTGTGCCACTGAGGCCCAGCTCTTGATTAGGCCTCGTTTTGATGTGGCCGGTAGCATCTCCACCTCTTGGTTCTATATTCCTTTCTAAGAGGCAAAACTAGGCTCCAGGACTCGCAGATGGGAGAAGGATGCTGGAGATGCAGAGACAGGGATCCGGGGTCCACGGATTTGGGTCCTTAGCCTTATGGAGGTCCCATTTCCATATCCTTCTCTCACCCAGCCAGGTTGAAGGGAAAGACCAGTCAACCCGGCTCACCAACGGAGAAGACCCTCCCCCACCCCCCATTCCCTGGGCAAACCCTCTGTTTGGGGTCTAAGTTCCCACTCTTCAGCATACACAGCCGGTTTCTTCTTTGTAAAATAGGGACAGTTGTACCTGCCTCTTGACCAGGATGAAGTTGACTCCTGATAATGAAGGCTTAGCAAACTGTGCCAGCCATATTGCCCAATGCTTCCAGCATGGGAACTGAGAAATAAAGTCTACAACTGCCCTAGGGTTTTCTGACCCGCGCGGAGGCACAACCCTGCCTCCTGTTTGACCAAAGCCTTGGTCCAGAGATGCTGCTGTTTTTGAGCCCAGCCAAAGCCCAGGAGTAGCTGGGTTGCCCCTGACTGATGGGTGGGAGGATGGGGTGGGACCCGTCAGGTCTCTGGAACAGGGCTGCAAGTCCTCTTCCTGTTTGGCCAGCTGTTCATCTTCACAAGGCCTTTCCAGTTCCTCATGCTTTTCCCACCCATGGTCTGTCCTCTGCTGCTATGGCCATTCCTGGAGCCTGCAAGCTCAGGGGAGAGCTCAGGGACCAGACAGGCCAGCCCCCACCACTCCGGTTTTACGCATGGGGTACCAGGTCCACAGTGAATCTGTGATTGTCTAGACAGGCTCCTCCTTGCCCCCTAAAATTGCCCACCCCCCCGTGTGTGTGTGTGTGTGTGTGTGTGTGAGAGAGAGAGAGAGAGAGAGAGAGAGAGAGAGAGAAAGAGTCTCACTCTGTAACCTATGCTAGCCCTGAACTGGCAGCAATCCTCCTGCCTCGGTCTCCTGACTACGGGGATTATGAGCCACCACTCCTGGCCCCCTGCAATCAATTGCCCTGAGAACGTCCAGCTTAAAGATTCTCCCCTCCCTACCCCCCATTTCTCGCTTTCACTCAGCAGCAGAGCTCACATATAGACGGGAACCGGGTCAAGCCTTTTCCACATGTGGGGAAACTGAGGTTTGGCAGGGATCTCAATTCAGAGTCTTTGGGAGCAGCTAAAGGAGGAAGGACCTGCTCAGTTGGGAGGGTTGCCCACACTCCAGTTTCACAGAGCTGGCTAACCTGAGAGGACCCGAGGGTCCAGGTGGCCACGTCCCTGAGGCAGGGCTAACAGCCTTTACTGTAGAGGACTTGACCACTCAGAACTTGTATCTGTTGCCGGTCTGCCTTCTGGTGCCAGCCTCAATTTAACACCCCCTGCACTAAGAGTCCCTAGGGACTCTCCCATCCACCCATGGACCCTGTCCACACCGAAAGGCAAGGACTCTTTTCCTCTCTAGGAGAGAAGTGGAGACTGACAGCTCTCACCAGGTTTCGTCTAGCAGCTGTGTGTTGAGCACTGTGTGTGCCAGGCCCGTCTCCTGGACTGACTCCTGCCCAGTACACTGTGGGCTCCTGGAAGCCTGGACAGTACCTGTGGAACTTGTAGGTGCCCTAGTGCCTGGCACGAAGCAGGCCCTCAGGAATGAGTGAATGAATGAGGAAATGAATGAATGGCTCAGCGGGAGGATCATGCTGGATCCCTGCAAGTCATAACTCAGTAGCTAACAAGGACAGCTTTGTGTATCACCTGTGTGTTTTTCCAACCTTAGAGCCCAGGGACGTCCAAGAGACGAAGAAGGGAAGCTGAGATGACCCAAAGCCTGGGTCTTCTCCTCTGTGAGCCTGACGTGTGTTCCCACAGGTGGCCTGAGTGTGGGTGAGTTCCGGAAGGTGCTGATGAAGACAGGCCTGGTGCTGGTCGTACTGGGTCATGTGAGCTTCATCGCAGCCGCTGTGCTCCATGGCACCATGCTGCGCTTCGTGGCTGCCGCCAGTGACGCCGTGGTTCTACAGTACTGCGTGGTGGACATCCTCTCTGTCACCTCTGCCATCCTGGTATGGCCTGACTGGGGGTCAGCAGGAGGGAGGGACCGGGTTTCAACCAGAGTCCCCAGCACTAACCCTAGTAGCCACCTACCAACTGTGCAAGCCCTCAAGCACTCTCTGCCTCAATTTTGTCGTCTGTAAAATAGGGGTGGTAGGAGTGTACCCAGACTGCAGAGGCCCCTAGTGGGTGTCTGAGGTCGTCCACAGAAGGTGTTGAACTGAGGGCCTGGCACACGGCTAGTGTGAACTGCTGTGACAAAGTCATGGTGTGGCAGCACAGAGGGAAGGAAGACTCCCCAGCTTAGCTGGGGAGTGCCCAAAAGGGTTTCAGGGAAGTGGAAACCTCTGAGCTGGGTATTAATGGATGAGTAGGCGTTCCCAATGGACTGTAATTATCAACCCAGGTATGTGGCATGCTGGGGCTAGCAGGCAGAGAAGCGTGCCAGGGTGGCATTCCGTGTTCAGCCTGTGGCAGGTGTCAATGTGTAGAGCTGGGAACGGCTGAGATCTGCTCTAGAGACACGGGACTAAACAATTAGACAGACGTGAGTTTAGCGCTAGAACGGATCCCCATGGACTACTTGATAGCCAGCAACCAACCATATAATACCTGGACACCTGCCCGTCTGATGAACGACTAAAGGAAGGAGCCTAGTAGACTTAGGTTTATAAAGCTCTCCTCTGTGTGACAGCTAAGGCAACTGCAGATTGGGGGATAATCTGCTCAACTTCCAGAGATTGCTGACTCCTGGCTAAGGGACTTCTCTCTGTGTGTGCTGGTCACTGCCTATAAAATGGAGCTCAGACAGCCTGCTGGCCTTTGGGTGTGGTGAGCCAGGCTCTGACCTGTAGACACCCCAGCAGCAGGAAGAGTGTTGGACTATGTCCCAGTCAATATCTGTCTTGCTCAGCAATCATCTGAAGACGACACAGATGGTGGCCAGCCCAGGGCCAGGGGGCTCCGAGCTGGATCACTTCCCTTTGCTTTCCTTCCCCAGTGAATCCTCACCACTCTCAGCTGCCCACACCTGGGGGAGGCTCACCCCACTTCCTGCTGATGGGATGCCTTCCTGTGAGGTCATCCTGCAGAGAGGGACTGAGCCCAGAGAAGCGGAGTCACTTTGTTGTGACTGCTACTATACACATCCACTACAGAGGGTGAACCTAAGAAGCTGGATAGGCTGGATAGGCTAAATGAAGCTAGTGACTTGGTGGGGGGGGGAACAGCCTCTCGGCTAAACAGGACATGGGAGGCCCTGTCTCTGGGTGTCGAGGAGCATGAGGATGCAGGAGCAGGAAGTGTGTTCTTGGAGGGGATGCTCCGTGGGCAGCAGCAAACAGCTGTGATTGGGTGCCCGTATCCAGTGGGATGAGAGAAGACAGTGGCCCAGGACAGATAGAGAGGGACGGGGATTAGGTCATTGAGAATCTGGGGTACCTCAGATCTTCCGAGGGGTTTCTCTATCTTTTGTGGAACTAGGGACTGAACTCAGAAGTCACACATGCTGGGCAAGCGTTCTGTTCCTGGGCTCCATCTTCGGCTCTCTCTCGGAGAGCCTGAATTCTGTTCACAACATGTACTGTCTGTCTAGGATGGACTTCACACTAAGATGGTGACCCTGGGGCTGGCCACCTCCCATGCTTCCTCATATGGCGCTGACCCCCTCAGTACACACTACATAGTCCTGGCCAAACTGGAACTTTTTATGTGAATCAGGCTGGCTTTAAACGCGCCACAGTGTCCATCTGCCTCAGCGCTGGGAATACAGGCGTGTGTCACTGTGACTAATTCCTGTTTTAATCTCATTTTGAGTTTAGTTCCTCGATAGTGGAATGTGTTTCTTCTAAAGTCTTTTCCATCCCAAGGAGAAATGTCCTGTGTATCCCATGGCCTACCCCCTGGCATGTGCCTGCAAACAGGATACATAGGACCCTGTTGGAGAGTCACCGCTTTAGGCAGTGGGGAGCCCTGGGAGGCTGTAGGCAGTGAGAGATGACCAGGGCACAGCCCCTTTGAAGTCACAGTTAACGAGGCTGAAGCGAGCCCAGGGTGGGAGTGGGGAAGGCAGGAATAAGGAAGATGTTGGAGGGCTCTTTATCCAGTGTGTGTCTGACCATATGACTTCTCCCACAGGTCATCATCGCCGGGATCACAGCTGTCGTCCTGTCCCGCTACCTCCCCAGCACCCCCTTGGTATGTGGCACCTCCTCGGATGGGACCGTGGGTTGGGTCAGCAACCCCCTTGCGGCCAAGCACTGACCAATACTCTCCATACCTAGCGCTGGGCTGTGTTTAGCTTGAATGTGGCCTGTGCTGTCCTTTCTCTGACCTGCGCCCTTGGGCTCCTGGCCTCCATCGCCGTGACTTTTGCCACCCAGGGCCGGGCGCTACTGGCAGCCTGTACTTTTGAGAGCCCTGAACTCCCAACGCTGGCACCTGACTGTCCTTTTGACCCTACTCGAATTTACGTGAGTGCCTCAGCCTTGGGAGGGGGCTGGGAAGGGCTCTTGGGATCCCTGCACCCCTGTCCCTAAGAAGATGCTTGTGCCCCTGTCCCCTGCAGAGTTCTAGCCTGTGCCTCTGGGCCATTTCTCTCATGCTCTGTGTGGCGGAGAGCGTGTCTGCCCTGCGCTGTGCCCAGCTTGTGCATCGACTGCTGGAACTGAGACCTTGGTGGGGGAAAAGCTGCCACCACACGGTGAGTCCCCTCCATAGTGCTGGGAAGTCCCTGCTGGAATCCCTGGCTGGTCAGCCCCACCCACCTCTGAACAGGGCCTCAGATAACTGGGGCAAAAGTTTGCTAACCGCCACCAAAGGGCTCCAAAGTCCAGGGAAGCCAGAGCTGCCAGCTAAGTCAGACAGCTATATCTGACCCTCCCGATCTTGAGGGGAAGCATGAGTTTTGGGTGTTCAAACAGGAGACACTCGGGAGTCTGGCCTGTCTTGAGTGTGTGGCAGTGATGTCCTCTTCCATACCCCAGAAGCCTCTAGTCCTCCCTGCCTCCAGTTTGGGGGCATCCTGGAGATAGAGACCCCAGTCCATACCCAGAAAAACAAACAGGTTTTTGTGTCTGCAGATGCAAACGAGCCCAGAGCCCCTGGATGGCCATGACCTACTGAGCTGCGCTAGCTCTGTGCAGCTGACCATCTGACACCTCAATGGGGCCATGACTACTGAGGCACGTGACCAAGTCTGGACATATGACCAAGCCTGCACTGACCAGTGCCCAGGAAGCCATGGAAGAAGCCTAGATGAATCCAGGATTCCCAGAGCAGGCCCAAGAGGGCTCAATGGACCCCTGGGGACCTGGAAGAGGGCTTTGAATGCCCTCCCTGGCCACCCGGCACTCTGCACTGAAACAAGACTTTATTTGGAAGTTATTAAAAAGAACAGAGATGCTCCATGTGCTGCATGCAGAGGGAGATGGGGGCTTTGCCAGGGGCCTGCATGTCTTTCCTACACAGAATGCTGTGGAGGGACTCTGCCCATGTCTGTGTGCGCGAGCAAGCGTGCGTGCGTGCGTGCGTGTGTGTGTGTGTGTGTGTGTGTGCATGCGTGCGTGTGTGTGTGTGTGTGTGTGTGTGAGGGGGGTCGCACGTGTGAGTGAAATAGGGTGAAATACAGAATACAGAGTGGTTATATCTGTGATCGTCCAAATGCTAAGAGGCAGGCTGGGTTTGGGGACCCCCCAGTTGGAACCCTGGGAGATCTTTTTTTACCATGGTCTCTAGCCACCAAGAGCTAGGACAGGAAGTATTCTGCAGGGAATTACATCAGGGAATTTCCTCAAAGCCCCACAGCCCAAGAATCTGCTATATCTCCCCCACCAAACCAAAAGACTTCACCTGGGCACCTCTCCACCTCCCTCCAGGCTAAGGGTCACCCAAAGGGAATGTCCCCCAACCCCCGTGTTGTAGAAGGGCCTCAGGTCTGTGGGTTGGTAGAAGGTGATCCAACCGTCTGAATAAAGAATACGGAACAGGGACAGAAAAAAACCAGAGTCATCTCAGTCCCACTAAGGAAGATTCTGCCTCATGGGCCGTGGGTCCTAACGGCTGTCTTGCTTAGCCCCTTCCTTGCAGGGTTTGCTTCTCCAGAGGCCTCCCACAGTGCATACCCCAGAAGGGGGTCCCTAGTCTGGCCCCCAGCTTGGACAGACACGAGGGAGAGGAAGCAGAGGGCCGGTGAAGGCAGGGAGGCGGCGAGCTGGTTCCTCCCCAGCTCAGAACTGGGAGGCGCTGCTGGGGTCGCACTGCAGCAGGCGCACGATCGATGGGTCGCTTTTGGCCCCACGGATGAACTCCTCCAGCGACAGCTTGCCTGCGGGGTCAAGGGAGGGCTGTCAGTGAGGAGAAGGCGGCCACAAAGCCAGGCAGGTGGTGGCAGGCGGTGCGGGAGAGGGAAGAAGGGAGGCCGCCCACCCCTGACACTCACCGTCATTGTTTGTGTCCATTTGGCGGAAGATTTTCTCAGTCCTCTTTTCCGGGGTCGATTCGTCCTCGGGCATCTTCATCACGGACGAAACCATCTTGTAAATGGCCTGTGGGGTTGGGTTCGGGAGTGAGAGGAGACCACTTAAGGCCCCATCCGATCTCGTTCTCTATAGACATCGCAAGGTCGTGCTCCTCTGGCCATGGAGGATGGAAGGAAAATTAGGAAAAGGCTTTCAAGAAGCGGGTGTTAACTTAAGAGTGCCCTGGACCAGGTCCCTTGGAGAACCAGATGGGAAATGCTGATAGAGATAACAGACAAAGGCACTGCAAACTGCAACCCCAGGTGGATACCAAGAATCTGGAGTGCACAGAGTCAAGAGAGATGTTGGAGGACATCGAAGTGCAGATAGCAAAGGGCGTAGAACAGCAGGGTGCTTGGTGGTAGTGGTGGTGGGGGAATAAGGGCCGAGTTAGCACTCTCATTCAGTGACCAACAGGGGGCGCTGAGGGAGATGGCACTAGACTGCGCTGCGGTCTGTGGCCGGCAGGGGGCGCAGAACGCCAAGGCAAGCTGGGACCCAGAAGGGGCGGGAACATTATGCAAACGAATGCAAATGAGCACCTGCCACGGGGTCAGGGACAGCCTGAGCTCTGCTGGGCTGAGAGCGGCAGCTGCCACGTGTAGGTGCTCCAGAGGCACCAAGAAGGAGAGTTTTTTGAGCTAAATGTACAGATCATGTAGTGCTAGACCTGTGCCATGGGCTGTTTCTGCTCCCTGGAGTTCAGAGATCGGACTAGCCACGTCAAACCTTCAACTCCTCCAAGAAAGCTCCCCTTCTTCCCCACGCCGTAACCCTCCCCACCCCCTTCGTGTCCAGCTTTATCTCTGAACTACTCTTTTCTAGCCTCTCCTTCAAGTTTGTCCCACACACTGCCTCTGACCGCTCTTTCCAAATACTAATCTCCACTACCATGTTCCCAAACCAGCAGGCCATCCCCTCGCTCCCAGCACACACAGACCTCCCTCTAGGCCCATGGTGCACTGGTTTCTTAAGGATGCTGCCTCCCACTCTTCCCTGGGGTTCAGTTTACAATGCTTTCCAAGCAAGATCATCCGAGATCCCGCAGGGGTCAGGGTACATCGGCTGCACAGACCCCTGGGGCTTTCCCTTTGAGGGCATATCTCAGGAAGTAACTAATTCCTTAGCGGACTGTGCCACCGTTCAGATAAGAACAGCGACTCTAGCTACTTCTATGATTCCCAAATTCCAGTACAGTGCCTTGGCACATGGCAGGGAACTCCCTGTTTAAAGGTCATTGTCACCTCCCACCATGCTCTGTACCAAGTCCAAACCATTTGTTTTTGGCATTCAAGATACTTCACAAGCTGTCCAATGCTGGCCTCGCCACCACCAGGCCCCGCTGGAGGGGTAATTCTGCTACAACGGGGCCTCTCAGATTCCCCAGCATTTGCAGGCGCTGCCTGAAATAATATGAGCTTACCCTTTATCATGCAAGCATTGTGCGCCAGGTCCTATGTGCAGGAATTTAGTTTTGGTTTTCTTTCTTGTTCTGATTTTAGTTGGTTGGTTGGTTTGGTTTGGTTTTTGAGGCAGGATTTCTCTGCATAGCCCTGGCTGTCCTAGAACTCACTCTGTAGACCAGGCTGGCCTCAAACTCGGGGACCCCCTATCTCTGCATTCTGAGTGCTGGGACTAAATGTGTAATGCCTCAGTACCTGGCATACATGTAGGATTTCCAAACTGTACATCAGCTCGGAAAATCTGGTATCAAATCTCCCTTTTCCTGGATAAGACACCAGTGTTTGGGAAGGGAACTGATGGAAGGCACCAACCAGATCAGGGCTTACTCCCTCTTAGCTGCTGGACGGATGCTTGGACAGTTTGGAGTGATGGCCCGCAGGAGCTCTGGAGGGACATCCTGGTGCATTCTGCACCTTTGTGTACCCTTGGGTAAGAATTTAGCCTCTGTGAGCCTCAGGTTCCATCTGTAAAATGGAGCACTGTGTCTATCGCATCAGAATTGTTTAGCACAGTGGTTGCCAACCTTCCTAATGCTGTGACCCTCATGTTGTGGTGACCCTCAACCCTAAAAGCATTTTTGTTGCTACTTCATAACTATAATTTTACTGCTGTTTTGAATTGAAATGTAAATCTCTGTGTTTTCTGATGGTCTTGGATGAAAGACCTATGAAAGGCTCACTCGACCCCCCCCCCAGGGGTCCCGACCCACAGGTTGAGAACCACTGCTCTAGAGGAGTAAATGGGGTAGAAGAACAGAGCAGAGCCTGGCTGGAGCGAGCGATTACTACCCAGCAGCATATATGGTCATTATTCACCCACTGCGTTCTCTGCTGTTTCCATCCCATGGTCTTCCAGACGTTATATCCATCCCTCTCCCTGACCTCACCAGTGTGGCCTGTGCCTTCATCTTTCCTATCAGAGGGGGAGCCCCAAGAAGCACACTACCTCTTTCCTCCCTCTGCGCCACCAGCCAGTGTAGGGCTGGGATGAGAGGTGGACTGAGCAGTGACTTAGAGAGTGGCCCTTCTCCTTGTGACAATCCTTCTAATTAATTAATTAGATTAGATTAATTAGATTAAGTCTGGATTGCTCGCTCCGGGTTTCACTGGAGCCTACTTGTCATTAATCAGGCCCTGGAGTGCACAGTACTCTGTCTGCACCAGCTGTCTGGAGCCTCTGAACTAGCATAATGGAAGTCGGGGTCTAGAGGGCAAAAGCTGGGAAGAAGAAGAAGAAGGAAGAAGAAGAAGAAGAAGAAGAAGAGGAAGAGGAAGAGGAAGAGGAAGAGGAAGAGGAAGAGGAAGAAGAAGAAGAAGAAGAAGAAGAAGAAGAAGAAGAAGAAGAAGAAGAAGAAGAAGAAGAAGAAGAAG